CCCCGTGCACCTCCGAAACTTCGCGTTCCCGCGGCGACGGCACCGGGGGGGCCAGGATACGCGTTTATGGACATTTTTGAGTGGCCGCGCGCCGAAACGAAGGCGTTGCCACGGCACGGCGCCACAGGTTTAACGAACCTAACGGAATTAATGCCGAGAAAGTTTCTTATTAACGCCGCAGATGCGGCGATTTGCGTTTAGCCAGCGCGCAGGCCAGTTAGTAACTCGAAAGGCCGAACAGCCGGGTTCGATTATGCAAATCGCGGCGATCTTCGCCGGGTGCCGCGTTACGTAATGCGCTCTCTCGCTCGCTGCAACCATAACAGCGAGGCAACGCCGGTCGAAAGAATCAGCTACGCTGGAAGCGGAGAGCGGAGGCGCGGACTTTTCATCCGCTTACGTCCGAGCGAGCCGCTCTCCTACACGGACGCCCGGTTAAGCTGATATTCTCGCGAAGATGCATGACGTTACCCCGACGCCGCCGCCGCGGAGAATGTAAATTTTCATTAAAATCTCGGCTCCGCCACCCACGTTCCAGCGGCTCCGCGATGCTGCCGCTGATTGCGAGCTAGGCGGCGTCCCCTTGATTACGCGGCCCGGGAACTCCTGGAATCTTTGTCTCTCTTCCGTTCCGCGGGATTCAAACGTTTTCTTTAGCAATTCGCGTGCCCGCGGAGCTACCGGTTGATTGTGAAAGCGTCTTCTGGGATACCGTAGCCGAGCTACCGGTTCGAAACCAGTTTCAAGCGTCTATTAGGTTGTTCCGTAAGTTCGTGCCGCGGTGTGTTAACCCCTTGCTTTACGATATCGCGGCGGACAAAGGTTTCTAAGTTTGGTTTGATATATATATATATAAATGTTAGTCGGTTCTGTGGAGTTTAAGTGAAACGTTTTTCTTGTTAACGATTTGTAGGGTTTAGAGGAAAATGCGGGTATGGAACGAGCACGGAATTTTTCGGTTTACTGGGCCATTATTAATGATGAGTGGTTCTAACAAGTGCGAAATTAAATTGTAGGGCGAGTGGTTAATACCTCTCGCGTTACGTTTTGTAATTAGAGAGAAATACGAGTTCGGACTGTTTCAGTTTAGTCGGTGGAAGGTATTTCACAGCGACGAGTCGTGAAGTTGGAATTTTCTATTTAATCAAATGTTATTTTATACGGTAGGAAAATAAACGATGCGAGCTTGTGGGACGAACTAATACTATTCCACAGGAGAAACGAGATGATTCGTTTTTTTTTGAGCTCGTCAGAGGAGTCACTGAACAGAGGCATCAGCGTTTCACTTAGGAGATTACCCCACCAGGAGTCTTTGACACCCGAAGAGTGCTCGTCCAGCGTGTTTTTGCCTGTTCGCTCGTTGAACCCGGCTCGTGTGAGCACGTTGTCGATTAGGATCTGTATTGTGCTTTGATCTAGATTAACACGTTGACCGCCACGGTGGTCACCGATCACTGAATTACTTGAGAACAATTACAAGAAGAAAATTCATGCATCAAAATACTCAGTTACGTAGATAGCTAAATAATAATTTAACCCTTACAATAACTTACTCCTTTAAGAACGAACGTCTACATTTTGGAGAGATCAAATTTTCATGTTTGTATTACCAAGTTCCAAATAAATGACTCAATTACTTAAACAGCAAGGGATCGCCACGTAGTTTCCACTTCTTTAAGCGACCGATATAATTTAACTTCATCTACTAAAAGTTTAGTACTTTTCAAACTTCGCAGCGGGTTAAGAGCGACGACACCAAATCGCTGTTAATTAATCCCAATTTGCGTTCATTATAATACCATAAGTAGCATTAAACGCTCTAAATTCTCGCAGCCAACGTGTTAAAAGGTAGAGCTCGCGCCATCGCTGGTACAATCCACGGACAGCAGCTCGGACGACCGTTATCCGATAAGAACCCTAGAGAATGCATTGTTCGGGGCGAAACTCGTACACGGAGAATTTCCGCGGGACCGGCGAATCGGCGAGGCCAATAAAAGAGGTCGCAAAGGAGCACGAGCGTCACGGTGATCACCGTTAGTTCCTTGCTCCCGTTGAATCGGCGAACTTCCGCGGCAGGAGTCTAATAAATTATAACCGGGAGCCGGCCGTCCCGAGCGTATTCCGGTCCGTCACAAAAGAAGCTCCTCCCCCGGAGGAAGGCGCGGCAGTTCGAAACTCGCCGAATCGTTTTCCAATCCGATTAATAATTTCGCCGCTTGTTACACGGTTACATCGCGTCCCGATCGAGCTGATTACACACACGACACCGGGCGCGTCCCGCGACAACGTCGCAACCGGGCGGCCGCTGTAGCGTCCTCGAGGCAACCGCAGTGCAGTCGCAGTTTCAATGGGCCACGCCAATTAATGCGAAGTGCCGTTCGAACTGCCGATGGCTCGCGTTAATGGCGTCTCAGCCCGGCCGCCGAGTACCAATTATCGATACTAAAGGTCGAATTAAAATCACGTGTCGCCGGAGAACCTCTTCCCTTCCCGGCTTTTAAACCATCGCCGGACCATGAGAACCTATTTCCTCGACCCCGTTCACGGCACTTCGAATGGCTACCTTTGCGCGCTACATTTAGAGTCCCTTTCGGTTCGGATTCTCTTTGTTCCCCGGGATAATCCTGGAAAGAGGAGCGCTATACTTAGCCACTCGCGTGATAGACGTTTAACCCAGATGCGCCTAGCCGGCTTTCGTTAATCTCGTTCCGCGGATTTCTCGTACGTTATCGATGACTCGCGTCCATCGGTTAGAGACGACGTTGTTTCGCAGGTAGAACGATGACGAGAATCTTCCGGACGTCCGGAGCTAATATCGGCCGCTCGCCCGCGCGCACGAGTCGGTCCTTCGTCTTCGTTACTTTATCTTTCCTCGGAGTTTTTATGCACGACGGTATATCTTGCTCCGCGCTGGACAGGGGTGAACGAGTTTCCCGTTGAGGATTTATCGCGGACGCTGCCCCGAGTCGAAATTCCCGGACAGAAGGAACGGGCGAGCGGGCGGAGCGGCGTACGTGGGAAATTGGCGACGGGATCTCGGCAACGAACAGCAGATTCCGGGCTTGCCTCGCGGCACGCGCGCACACGTTCGTTACAAACTCGCGCTCGCTTATGAATAATTACTCCGGGAGCCTGGAAAACTGTTAACCGAGTACAATGCCGCGCTAACTATCGAACAAGTTTAATTATCGAGCGCGCCCGTGGCTCGAACAGGCGCAGCCGGCGCGCGGCCGGCTCCATCCCGAAATTGGCCGACCGTGGACGCTCCGAGTCCGAGCTGGATATCCGTTGCTAATCAGTGTCGCCTTCACGGGAAACGGATGGCCCGTGGACATCGGGAGATCACTCCTATCCGGACGTTGATCAGCGCCTCGTTTCACGATAGCCGTCGCTTCTGTTCGTCTAGATCGTTGCGTGGGCGGATTCGGAACACCGAACGGCGTGCGTAGGGTCCAGAATAGCCCGGGCAACTGTTATCAGTTGGGAAACGAAGGGAAACTGGGCGTGGATACGCGGGGTGGGTCGTAAATCTTGGCACGGTGCGGCGGGGTACGTTATGTCTCGGAATCAGTGAAACTGTTGAGCTATTCTTTCACTGGAAATGAGCTCCAAACACGAATCGAGGGTGTGCATTCGCTAGATCTCAAGTGAAAGGTTATTGTGTTAGGTGTCGGAGGAAGTTCGCGTAGGTTCTCCAATTGAAATTTAAACGTGGAGAACGTTTTTGTCAGATGACATTATTTTATCGATGTGACTTGCTGATACCGATTTCGTTCGTTGAACTAGTGAAGTACTGATTGAGATCGAACCGAGGTTCATTGTTATCGAGAGAACCGCATGAACGTTGTCCAGTACCTAACGCAAAATATTCTGGATTACTTTACCGTGTCTCGGTTTATTCTGGAACACCCTGTGTTTGGGGAAGGAGACTCTAGACGGAGAGGGAACGTTCTGGGCACAGGAATTTACGGACGGTCTGCGGAGAGGGAAGCGAAAGGGACACGGCACGTGTGTACGTGTTCCTTGTCCTGGAAAACTGAGCTCGATGTTTGGAGCGAGGACAGGGAGCGTCCGGGACGTTGGGAATTCTAGGTTTTACGAGGGTTATCTCAAAGTAACATTAGGAACTAGTATTTTTCAAAGTTAAAGAAGACATTTACGGCAGAGTTATCCCATCGTCGCTTTAATATCGCGTTCGTTACCAGAAACGTATATCTGCAATCAATGTTTCATATTCTGTGAAAAGAAGCGTAAATTACATTTATGTATAAATTCATCTAATATTCTAACGTACGATATAGCATAGAAGAAGTTGCAATGATTTTCCTTCTTGATCATTCTCTGTATTCTGCGAAGACAATGTCTTATTTAACACGTTAAATGCCATGTCATTTCGACACCTGTAAATTGCTAGAAAGTAATTGTAACATATAACGTAACCAGTGTCGAATAAAAGCGTTTAATAACCTAAATAAGTCGACAACTTAACGTCAGAATTACGATGCCGAACAATCGACAATTGCTTCTATTCATCGTTGCTACGAAAGAATTGCTGTTCTGTTAATAAATTTCTGCAACCGCGGAGACTTATTGAAAGAAATACCGCTTAACGAGCCAAGCAACAGACGTTACCAAAGAGCCGGTTCCCATTCTTCGATCTTCTTGCCAGAGATTCGAACGCAGCGCGCCCCTCAGAAGTATCACGAGCGTGGAACAAAGGTATCCGCCGCGGAAACACGCCGAGGATGATAAAGCAACGTTAAATGGCCTTGGAAAAGATTTGCCCGTCGCTTTAAGGGCGGTAATGACCGTGAACGTCGCCTGCGACGGAGCAGACGGGTAAACCGTGGGCTTAGGGGCCGCGCGATCCGTCGAACACGGCCGTTAACGTTCCCCGTCCGGCGACGAAAGTAATCTCGCGCGGCGGTCGACGGATTCCCCGGTAGGAAATGAAATTACACGGGCAATGCAGAAACACCGGGTTCCTTTTTCTGTTGCAGAAGCGGTTCACTCTCCCGGGAGGCGAGGCGCAGCGAGAATGAGCGAGAACGGGCGACACTCGGCTCGCCGCTAACGAACACCGCCAGGATCGTTTTCTACGCCGGTGAAATTGAACCGGGAGCACAGGAGAAAAAGGGCTTGCGTGCGGCGGCTGCGCGGGAGGGGCCGGAAGACGGACGAGGGAAAACAAGCTCCCCAACCCCTCGGAATTTCTTCGCTCGGCCTTAATCCACTCGCGGGAGAAATCATCGGCGACCCCGCTCGAAAGTTCTGAAGCGTTCGGTTCGCCGAAGACTGGTCCGGATAACCAGCGCAGTTTAAGTTAGCCCGTTTCGGTTCCCGGAGACGTTTCCCGGGTATAGGAGCTAATAAAACCAGCCAGCAGAGTTCACGGACCCGCGTCGTACGAGGAGTTTACGGGGCTAGAGCCGCGCGGCGTAAACTCGGCCGCGTACGGTCCTCGTCGATTGGCCGGTAGGGATGTCCGCGGATCCAATTAAACGTCCGCGTTTGATGGTGCCGTCTTGAGTGGTTCGTTCTCCGGGAATTCGCTCTTCCGGTCGCGTGTTACGGTCGCTGTAGGAAGACATGCGAGGAGAGGAGCGGTTCCGCGTCTGTTCCGCGTCCCAACCAACTGGATTTCAGCTCCGTTTCCGAGGTTGCCCGAGGCTGTTGGAAGGGTCGTCGCGCTGTGGACGGGTTTAAGTTCTCGATCGAAACGGTGACGCCGGTTTCCGAGGGGATCGCGAACCGGGGGATCGATGAGTTTGGGATAGCCGCGATTGGGATCGTCACGGAATCGCGGTAACGGACTTGCGGTCGCGCGATAGTCACGAATCTTCGTCCAGGTGGTGATATGCGAAGATAGGGCGACGATGACGAGCGAGCTGTACGCGACCAAGGTCGAAAACTCGACCGGCACGATGAATCTCGTATCAACGATATCCTCGTCGCCGTCCAGCGCGGTCGCAGCGGCGATCAGCGCTGGCACAGCTATTCCCACTAATCCGTCCACGACAGTAACGGGTGGAGCCGCGGTCACCGGCACCGCTAAGCCCGACCATCACATCTACAACACGACCGGCGACCTCGTGGAACACGACGAGCTCGATCACAGTAAGTAATAAGAGGCCCCGGGGCACGGTTAACGCGCGTTACACCGGTCAAAGCCGGCCCTAATGGGACTGCATTAGGCCGTGCTCGCATGGAAACGCCACTCGTCGATCATCTCGATTGTCTCTCCGCTCCGGCCGGGCTCGAAAGAGCTCCGGGATCCTCCGGACGATCGTTCCTCCTCGAATCTCCGATAGCGTCGCTGTTGATTTACGAGCAGGCCGCCGACCTTTAGAATACGATTTTCATTTCTCTATCAATGGCTTCCGGAGGATTCGAAATAATGTGAAAAGGAATGGGATTCAATGAAAGGTCTCTGTCTCGTTCTCGGTAATATAATTCCGTGGTCTATTCACGGGTCGCTTCGAGGCAGACTCCGAGTCACTTAGGTATCTCGCGGATCATTTTTGTATACAGCGCCTCGGCTGCTCGGTTGGAATCAGTAGCTTTATTCTTCGAGGGGAGGAAGATTTCTGTGACGTTTCGCCGAGAGAAATTACGCTTGAAATTTACAGAACGACTCGCTCTTGCGCGGCGCAACGAGCCGTCTCGCTCGTTCGAAAACAGTTTTCACGGTTTGCGCCGGCGGCGAACCGCGTTTTCAACGAGTTAGCCGCGTGAAACGCAATCCACGGAGCTCGGTTTTTCCGGTGCGGGCGTTTATTTCCTGTCCGATCGATTTCTCGTTTGGAATATGCCCGACGGCCGGGACACCCGCGATTCGCCCTCGGACTTGGGCTGCCGTTACGCTGGACGCCTATTGGAATGGACTGGTTTCGACGAATAAGCGTCTGATGATCGCTTCATTATTAACCCTTTACACTCGAATGCGTTTCAATGGAGATATTCAATATTCCTTAGCGAAGCTTAAACTCTACACCTGCGATAGATTCGCGATGAGAATTTTAAACCGATTTTCAGAAACCTAAGTGTCACTCATTTCTTTTAAATATAAATCAAATATTACTTTCATATTATCAATCGTTAGCCTTTGGAGTAAACGTAGATATAACCGTCAAAAATATTTCTTTTTCTAATCAACGATTAACTAATCAGTCATCTCTCACGTGCAAAGGGTTGAACATGAAAGTTGCACACGAAACACGTATCCATGGCAATCGCATTTTTATTCGCCGTTCTCGCTCGAAGATTCGGAATTTCTTTTCATCTGGCAAGCCCGTTTCATCGGGCATCAAGAGGATTTTCGGAATTGGTCTAAACGCTGCCGGTTCCATCCGTCCCGTCCACTCCCGGTGTCCCGGCGAGCTACCCACGGATTTTCAGATTTACCCTCGTTTCCCCCTTCCGGCCGTCGACGCGCGAAACCGTCCCCGGGCGTCGCTTAATCCTCCCCGTTCTACGAATTTATTACTGCAACGTTCCTCGACTTGTTTACCGATCGCAAAAAATATCCTTTCCGGTGCGCCACGGCTGTCCGCTGAAATTCGCCGGCGATCGAGCGATAAAAAACGTCCCGAGTTAGCCAGTTTTATAGCGTTCCATGCGAAAGAGCTCGCTCTTCGATCGGCGGCGGAGCAGCGGGCTCCCGTCGCCGGTTCTTTTCTCTCATGAAAATCGATAGTATCGCGGTTTACACTAGTTCCCGATGCATTGTATGACTCGTTCCCCCGGCAGGTAATTGATAATTGCCCGATAACGGTGCGATATGGGTCAGGCAGCTCGATCGATCGTGTCTTCGGGCGGACTCGGCCCCATCGATCGTCTAATTGCCGACTCGCCGGCGATACTCGTTAAAAACGTACGCGAGCCGCTTCGATCGCGTTTAAGTCACGCGCTAATAACGCTCGGGACGTGCGGTTTTTACGGGATGCTGTGTCGATCGGCTCGGATAACCCTTTATCAGGAGGGCCGGCATCCCCTTGGCTCCCGTCCGGGCGAAATCTTCCCATCGTGGTCCTTGTTCGAAGCCGGCCGACTGCGACACCGCCGGAATACTAATCGCAACGCTGCGGTCTAGCGAAGTCGGATCGATACCATATCCGTGCGGCAACGGCCGCGTGATGTACGACGGAATTCGCCCCGCTCCCGATTCACAAGCTTTTTTGTCGTTAGATATTCATGCTCGTCGCGGGCTGCTCGCGCCCGGCCGGCTTTTTTGCAATATTTATGAGGACCGGCTATCAGCGCGAGAGGAGAGACACCGGAAGGAACTGGAGGAAGGGATGTTCTCGCGATCAAACGCCGGCCCCACTCTTTCCTTTTTCACAAACTTAACCCGGCTGGCACAGTTTCAGAATAGTCCGCGGTATTTCGCCGGCGGATCTGGAAAATCGAGCGCGATATTTTTAACCGGAAGCTCCGTGAATTATTCAAATAGCTTACCTGCTCCTCTCCGGGAGCTCCTTTATCCATCGTATCACCGGCCAGCCTCTATCGCCCATTACTTCGACCGGGGACAACTGACGGTCTTCGACTCCGCCATAAAGTTCCTCAGGACGTCCAGGATCTCCATTCTTGCCCTGGTCGCGAACGGTCGTCTCAGTTTCCTCAAACAACGGGACACGATCGCCGCGAACGATTCGTCGGAATCGCTTTCGCAGCTGCTGGGCACGGTATCGGGCGATCCACGAGTCTCGCGTCTTCCCTGCAGCGACACGACGGACATTGATGGCTTCCTATCAACCTGGAACACGTATCAACCCTTTCGCTCCACGGAAACGGGGGCGAGACACGATGCGTCCTCTTTACCCGTCTCGCGAGAGTGATCACTATCCCAGATTAAATCCCGACCGAAAGGGTTGATTCGCCTCTCGGCGTAATTGATCAACCTGTCCGGTCCCCGGTGACGCGTCTCTAGCAGGCACGACCCCATGGTGTTCCGGTTTTTCGCTGGAACCACGGACAGCCGGACACGTGCTGTCCGATGGGAGCCTCTCCAGCCTGTTCCTCTCGCGGGCGATCCTGCCGCAGGACAGAGGACAGGTCCCGAACCGAGCCTTGACCTCCGGCGTCGAAACCGCGGGGGAGCTGATCGAATTCATGGCGCCGGGAGCTCGGGAGGACTGTCCGTCGCAGTCGCAGACGGTGTCCCTCGTCATAGGGCAGTCCGAGTGGTAGCAATTGGCGGGATCCGGGGGAGGATCATGGTCGTCCGTTTCCCAGGGATCGGCGGTCGGGCCTGCGTTCTGCGGGCCGCGGCGGGAAATCGGATTTAACGGTCGCTCGTAAATTTCGGGGGCCGGGGGATAATAGCGCGGAAATTGCGCGGAATAGGAAATCTATTTTTAAATATTTACGGGCGGGGCTTTACGCCGCCGCCGCCGCCTTTATGCGCGGGGCGCCGAGCCAAACGCGCTCGTACGTCGCCGTTAAGCCAGCTTCAAAAATTCCCTCGCCCCCTCGCGTCGCGCGGCTAGACAAGCTTTACGAGCTACCGTTCCCGGAGTTTCCCCCGCCGTTAGACGAAACAGATTATAAAAATGCACTTAGCCACCCCCAGCTTCCGATTCCCTTGTTCCGCCCCCGGGAACGCCGGAGACGTCCTCGAGAGAAGGGACTCCCCGGCTGAGACTGCACGGCCGTTTTACACGTCGTCAGAGGCGGTAACTGTTTATTCCGTAACGACTGGATACACGAGCGTGGAGTACAGCGTGAAACCACGGCTCCGCTGTCCCCTTACTTTCCTTTTTCACGGATAAAGTAAAGCATCCGAGCGCGACATCCATTTTCGTACCGATTCTCCCCGTGTACGACGTCTATCGCGCATAACGATCGTAAAACGCTTGTTTAGTCGAGGTTTTACTCGAGAGAGGAGAAACGCGATGTATGGAGCACGTGTAAAACGTCTGCGCAAAGTCTTCGGGCTGGAGGAGCGTCAGGCATCGTCGACGTTAACGGTAGCTAACGAATTTATCGGTACGGACGTGCAATTCCAGTGACTCGTCGTAGTCCAGGTACGGGTAGAGGAATCGATGCAGATCGTAGAACCAGGGGAACGAGGTCTCGTGGCAGTAGCCGCTCGCCTCGGCTTCCAGCAGCTTCTTCAGCTCGTCTACGTACAGCCGGCGCATCTCGCGGAGCCTCAAGACGACCTCGATCAGGCTCAACCCCGGTAGCTTCATCGCCCTGCGAATTTTCTTGTACGCCCGGTACCTCCGCTCGCTGTCCAGATAATGTCGCGCGTCCTTCTTCCACAGGCAACTCGATTTTTCGTAGAGCAACGCCAGCTGCCAGAAATGATAATGCACCCATTGCTCGTGCCCCATGGCACCGAGACACTCGCTCGTTTCGCGTACGAGCCCGGCGTATCGATCAGTTTATCATTCTCCTCTCGCGCGATAAAAGTGGCTGCGACGATGGATCACTTCCTTCCGGTTGCATCGTCGACGGCGGCGACGTCGCGGGGTGGTTTGGTGTGCTCGGAGATCGGTGTTAGTCGCTGAAACGTTTTATCGATTCCTCGGTAAACGTTCGCGTTAAACTTTCTTGATGCAGTTTGCGAATATCGTCGAATGGAAGTGTCTTCCCTTTGTCGGCGAATTGAGTAGGTTAGCGAGGAGAGCGTGGAGCTTAATTGTACTCGATAATGGAAGAAGGGGGACGGTGGAAGTTACTTTGAAACGGATCTCATCGCCGTCCTCGTCGTCGTCGTCGTCGGCGTCGTCGTTGTCTTCTAAAAGGGTTTTTCGTTGTAATTGGGTCGTAATCCGGTAACGCGGCCGAGGCGGACCGCGGACACGTTCACGTTCGTTACACCGGTCGGTTCTACTTCGAGTATTTTGATCGGTGGCATCGATATGCGACGGTGGCAACGACCTGAACGGAATTTCCGAGCGTAGGCTGGCTTTTTGAAGTTCGCTATTTCAACGGCCAATCGCGTACCGCCGCGTTCACGAATTTACGATATTCGCCCCGCAGCCGCGGGACACGCGGCAATTTCGAAAGTAACGCAACCCTCGCGTTTTGCAGGTATACTCGCCGGTTTCTCAGATATACAGACGGTTTTTCTAGCGTGTATCTCGACGCTGCTGCCGCTGATCGTCGCGCTGGGAATTGCCTTCGGCGTCAGGTAAGATGAATACAGTTACCTTGCGACTTGCACCGTACGCGCCCCGCGGAAGCGGCGCCGTGCAAATTTCTCCCTCACGAGCCCCGACCGCGAGCAGCTTGTTTCTGTCTTATTTTCGGGCGAATTCCTTATTCACCGCACCGAGGGAGACCGGAGAGAAATTGTTCGAATAACTTTCGCGTTCAACATATTAGAAGAATTCTATTTCTTTCCATCGGAGCGCTTAAGATAAGGAAATCGCTTTTGCGGCTCGTGCCGCGAGAAGCGAGGCTGAATTACTCGAGTTTAACGGAGACGATATTTTCCCGGGGAAACGCGGGGAATGAATGGTAGCATGCGCGGATAAGTTGCTCAGACTCTCCGAGGGGTTGATTTCATTTCGGGAATGCACGCTCGAGCTACCGGAATTATTTTAATAATGAACTACGGCCGGTTGCGCTGCACAATTTCGTGGACGGTAGTTTATTCGCTACGTTCCCGCGGTCCACCGTGGAGAAATTTAGATAGTTTGTGCCGTTTCTGCCC